ATGACCGACTATCCATCCACCATTTAAACGTTTCAATCAAACAATTTTCAATTTGTACACCCTGTGATGTGAGAATAAATGATTGATTTCTCAACTGTGCACAGAAATTAAGTAACCATTCTTGTGACGCAGCAGTTGAAACATCAAATGTTGACGTAAATGTTACATTTCCAAAGTTATCTGGATCCAAATAGTCGCCATTATCATTGGCTTCAATACCAAAGACAACGCGTACTGGTGCTTGGCCATATATCTCCTTATTTTGCACATTTTCAAAGTGAAATCTGTCTTTGTACTTGAGTTGATATGTTTCTAAAAGGTGAGATGATGTAAACAATTGGAGATCATTCACTGTTGGTAGAGAAAGTTTCGGAGTTACAAAGACCACTATAAAACCCCCAATAGTAAACAGTGATAGCATGATTAGCCACAAGTACCGGAATTTGATCACTAACCATGGAAGAAGTTTATCAAAAAAAATCCTTCCAGTTTCTGTGAAAAAGAAGGATATTTTCCGAACACCTGTACAGCATGTACTAACAAGTAAATTTTTCATAATGGGGGAATGTTCTTCGCAGCATAGGAATGCAGAGCATATATCATGCAATGACACTGCAGCCGGTAACCATGTCACTGTCAGAATAAAATTACATAAAATAGCTATGCCTGTATAGATGGAAAAACAGCGAATAGATGTAATTGGATTGACAATGTTAGCAAATAGTGCTGCAGCAGTAGTAAAACTAGTGACAAACATTGTAAGAAAACCATGCCGTAATGCTTTGCCAATTATAGACTCTTTAGTGCTCTGTGCATTGGCCTGTTTAGTGTGCTTCCATATATCACAGTAAACAAAGGCATCATCAGCACCAATGGCAATCAACAAAACAAAGGCAAGCATATTCATAAAAGGAAAGAAAAAGATCTGTAATACAACCGTGTAAATAAAGTATGCAAAAATTAGAGAAAAAAACATGGAAAGTACAGCCATTAGAACGATAAAAATTGATCCAATGTATAACCACATGAAAAGTAATATGATGCAGGCAGCAATTACCCCATATTTAGAATCTTCTAATAAATAGTCGGAAAATATGTCAGATTTAATTTCAAAATCAAGGGAAGTGACAGTACTTATACCATCACTGACAGGTTTCCCGTCTGGAAAACTTTTCTGAAATATTTCAATTAGATCATCATTATACCTATATACAGGCAACACTGTAATAGCGGTTTTTACTGTCCCTTCTGATGGCTTAAAATTGATACTGGTCAGAAAATGAAAAATATTGTACACAATATTATACTTGGCACAATAGGTAGGAACACTGCATTGAGATGTCTGCCAACAGTCATCATGCAATGTACCATCGTTATAATATCCTTCACAATTCAGTAAAGTCTCTAACATCTTATCCACATCCTCATCAGTAATATTTAAGCATGATGATTTCCCATTAAACACAGCAACAGAGTTTCCTAACGACCAAGAAAGACAAGGAGAATCTAACGCTATCAGCTCCTCTTCTAATGAACACATGGACTTCAGTGCAGTCACAGTGAATAGATTAACATTAGCAGTTGGTCCAAACACCATCTTTGCCATATCTACAAAATAAAAGTACACCATGTCAAAAGAGTGTCTTGGTGATTGTGATTGTTTGTTTCATGCTACATGACCTTTGTTAAACAGATTTTGTGACCCCTAACTTATTAGTAAACAAGTCATTGTCAATGACATAGTCCCTGTTCAATTTTTAGTGACTTTGTAAATGTTGGGGGAGTATTTAGCATGTTAAAAATTTGGTGTTACTTTAAATAGCTTTCTCCAAGAATAAGAACATTTTCTCATATCACACAAAATTGTATAATCCACAAATAAACCAGTTGGACTTTTTGAATCAAATAACAAAACAAAACATGTGTATTGTTCATACCAAAATCAGTTGTCTGAGAAATAATTAAGGACAAATACCACTAGTCAACCAGTTTGAACCAAATCACACAACAAATGGGAATCATAGGAATCAGTAATCTAAGTTTTGTTTGAATGAAATTGGCCAAGGCAGTCAAAGGTCATCAAGAAAGCTTAGAAAGAACTTCTGTGTGCTGATGAAATTGGATGAAGGCATATTATTA